TACATCTATTTAATTAAATAAAAGGTTTTGCTAAGTATATTTTTATTTATTTTTCTACCTGTGCTCGCCAGATTTTGACAACCCTAACACCTACAAATTGCTTATATGAAAAGAAATAGATATTCGAGGCTAAAATTGCCCAAATGTTTTATAGTGAATCTATTGTGCAAAAGTGTTTGGTACCGTGATAGAACGTCCACTTTGCCTTTAAACTTATATTACTTCTTTTACAAGAATGCCATAGGAGCTATACTTCCGCAAATAATGGATGCGGGAAAACATGGACGAAAATAAAGGTAAATTTGCCAGTCATCAAAATTTCGAATTATTTGAAATTTTATGTAAATAAAACTGAATTTATAATCGTAACACAATTCCATAATCGGCTAGGCCATCCTTAGAAATTGAGAAGTATAACATACCATACAATTTTTTTTAAGAAAATCAACATAATTGTAAAAAGTCGGGCCAAATTGGACGGTTCGACGTTAAGGCCTCCGCTTTAGAATATGAAATTATTTTATTGTTTGTAGTTCCTCAAAGTTGGCTTTTACTTTTTATTCAAAGATATGTTATACCCTTTTGAGTGCACCAAGGAATATTCCTTGTCCGCATGTACCGTAGTCTCGTTATCGTCTAAATAGTTACATTAAAAACATCATCTCCTATTTTACCACTATTCGTTGGGATATTTTTTTTCCAAAATTTGTATGGGACCACACGTGAATTATATCGTATTTAATTGTAAAAGAACCAAAACTCAAAATTGACTACGATGTCGCGTGTTATACATTATAAGAAAATCATATAGCAAAAATGATAAACAATGCAAGTTAAGTTTAAAAACAAGTTTCCGAGAACAAACAAGTTGCTTTAGAACTGCTCTGCTTCTTTAATATAATATAAACATAAATATAATATAAACCGGACATTAGACAAGACCTCAATGTATTTGTAAAACTTTTCCATTAGGTAATGGTGGAAGAATCCTTTATGTATTTTACGGTTTTCAGAAGGTGATTATGGCAATTTCAGAACATCTCATGATATTCCAACATTACTGCCTTGTGCATCAGATGACATAGAGCAGCGTCAAAAGTGGGAAGGATTAGGGGACTTACTACGAAAATTCATGTACAAAGTTTTCGATGAAGGATTCGACGTTTTCATTGTTGGGTATTCATGATTTGATATTTTATAGTTTAAGTACGTCCGAAGTATTTTGGTGGAATGCGTTTATAGTCGATGTATGGGTTTTGTATCCAAAGCTTTGTTATTCGTTTTCTAGTTGCACTGCTGGCGCCGGAGATTACGGGAAATTGAGAGAAAAAAATTCTCCAGAGGCATACTTTTTAAATAAATAATAAATTAATATAATATTTCATATTCTTTATGAAACCGAAGTGATAATCGAAATGACAGTGCATCTGATAGTAAGTGGCTACTGTAGTCTACATGTAGGACACCTTCAAACAAAGAACGCTACATATATGTTGTCAACAGTGAGAACTAAGACGGAATGCTTCACAGCCTGTTAATATACAAGCCTTCTGTCTCTATACAGTTCAGACCGCTACACAGTAGTGTAAGCACTGATGTTTGGCGACAGCAATAGGTGAGCGGGTGGTACCTAGCCAGACGGATTCCTACCACCATTCCTACCACCTACCAGTTAGTTTATTCACGGAAGACACGCAACAATTTAAAAAAATCTCTTTTTTTATTCATTAGGAAAAAATTATGCGCTTGAATTGAGGCGACTTAAAGAGTAGACCCACGTATTATACGTAGGTCTTCTTCTTAAATGCAACTAGTAGACAATGGATCTTCCGGCAATTGATCTGTTATTGCAGAGCATTCTTTGTTTATTGTGAACGTACTGTAAGCAGTAATTTGAAACCTTAGTTTTACTTCAAGATTTCTTCTATAAATGCATACTATTGTTAATGATATGAACGTTTATATATATATATATATATATATATATATATATATATATATATATATATATATATGTATGTATGTATGTATGTATCTATGTATAAAACTCCACACCTGATTGATTCACAAAGAAGACGGATTTTACGATAGTGGTTTGAAGCCCTCAGCCTGATTTTTTTGACAAATATTTATAGTGTTTTATCTATAACCTGGTCTACTCGATCTTTACAACCTTTATCTTAACTTTATCTTTTAAATTATTTTGCGCACGTTGTTATTACCAAAAGGTTAAAATGAAAGACTACAGAGACTACAGACTATATAATCACTAGCATTATAAACACATAATAAAGCAGCCATTACTAAACAACTGTTTAATTCACATAACCATATCCGAATTTATAATGTAAGCGACGAGAAAAGGATTTGAGGATGGTACTAAATTCTTTTAAAAGGGTTATTACAATTCTAAATTAATTCAGTGTAGAGGAAAAATTGCCAAAATTTTTATCAGGTTTTAAATGTAATGCGTGAATACGATAGCGAATACTTTAGTAAAAAATAAATAATTGCGAAAAAATCTGCGTGGATAAAAAATGGGACTGACATATCGCTTTGCATTACGTACTCAAATCAAATATAAAATTATAATACATTTATTAATTATTTATTTTAGTATTTTCACCATAGATTCGTCGTTTAGAGGCGGAGAGTCCGCTGTTTACTATACCATACACAGAAAAGATACTACAGAGGGAAACTGAAACTCGGCAGCAACATTTTTCTGACAACAACTCAAAATAATAAAAATATTGATGTTGCGCATCCGTCTCCGAAGCGTGGCAACTATAGCAAGTATCCTCCCCTATATGAAGCTATGTTCGTAGTAGACTTTGACAGGGTATAATGATGATGATGATAATGATGGTGACGATTACAAAAAAAATAATATTAAGGCGCTGTACATAGTCAAAGTAGGCTTCAGAATTTTTTTTAGGAAAATGTATACATTTTAGAGCTGCAAAAAATATGTTAATCTTGATCATATATATTAGGGAACCATTGAGTTTAAAACACGTTTTCGGTAAATTTTATCGATAGAAAAAATCACAAAAATCCATTAAAAATGAAATTCTAGCGATTGTAACTAGATTATTTATAAACAAATCTTGATCAAGTTAATAACAGTGATGTAATATAGAATAGTAAAGGGAACTGTTGTTTTTATTTATCGATTAAAATAAGATATTTGTAAGCATTAACATATTTAACTACGCGGAGGGACACTGACCGCTGAGGCGCGATGCTAGGTAGACCTGTTTCGCTCGCCGCTCAAAAATCATTTACGCATGTTTTGTTGTTGAAAGCTGAATGAATGATTAGTTTTTTATAAGTTGTATTGTTGATGTAAATTTTTGTTCGGTTTCGGTTCTAGTGACTTCTTTTTAGAATTGTCATTTCTTACAAATGTCACTCATAGGAGAAAAAAGGATTGGCTGTTAATAAGTTTAAATATTTAATTAATTAAAAACTGTATAAAAAGGGTTATTATAATATAAATGAATACATGGTTGATAATAAACCCTGGGAATGAGGTGGTCGCTTCAAAGTTGTTTCTAAAATAAATTTTGTAAATAGTTTGTAACCAATCATATTGTAAAATATATGTTTTAAAGTCCCACTGGGTTAATTGCTGGTTATTCCTAGGTCAGAGGTTTTTTTCCGAACTAGTGGTAAAGTAAAAATGACTTTCAATAACAATTAAATTTGTGATCTATATTGAATAAAAATTCTATTTGATTTTAGGGCTGACACCATAATAAAAGTTTTTCATAACGATGTGTACAATGTCTGCCTTTGGTATTACTACACTGGATCTTTTGTAACACACTGTATATTAATATTTTTCTCCATAATCAACCATCAAGCTCGGTGGATATTTTTATTTTATTTTTATTATTCGATCTTGATTCTGAAGAAGTATATTATATTCTATAGTAAAAAATTATATGTTTTTATAAATTAAAAAAATTGACAATTAGCCGTTTCGAGAATAGACCATTTTTAGAATTGACCATTCTGCACCAGCCATTTATTTTATTTATTATTCGTCTAAAGAATCTCTTCTCGATAATTTTTGTAGAAAATTGACTATTTATTTTTAAATTAAAATAATAAAAAAATATTTACGTATTTTGAAAATAACAATACGAAAATAATATTTTCAAAATAAGAAAACAAATATATAGAGATATTTTAATAATAAGGACATTTTAAAAATACGAATACAACACTATAAGCGTGCGACGGGATTCGAACCGCCAACCATCGGGGTACTTAGCAACTGTACAGCGGCGCACCGACATCGTCATCGACATCGTCATCGTTATCATCATCGCCATCATCACGTCGTCTTCATCGTCATCATCATCGTCATCATCATCGTCATCTTCATCGTCATCATCATCGTCATCTTTACCGTCGTCATCATCGTAATTGTCATCGTCATCATCATCCTCATCGTCATCGTCATCGATCATTATCGTCATCGTCATCATCATCGTCGGCGTCATCGTCATCATCGTCATCGCATCACCATCGTCATCGTCATCGTCATCGTCTTCGTAATCGTCATCGTCATCGTCATCATCATCGTCATCGTCATCATTATCGTCATCGTCATCTACATCGTCATCTACATCGTCATCGACATCGTCATCGTCATCATCATTGTCATCATCACGTCATCTTCACCGTCATCATCATAATTGTCATCGTCATCATCATCCTCATAGTCATCGTCATCGATCGTCAACGTTATCGTCATCATCATCGTCGGGGTCATCGTCATCATCGTCATCGTCATCATCATCGTCATCGTCGTCATCGTCATCATCATCATCATCGTCATCATCATTATCGTCACAGTCATCATTATCGTCATCGTCATCATTATCGCTTTCTTCATCATCATCGTCATTATTGTCATCGTCATCATTGCATCATCATCGTCATCTACATCGTCATCGACATCGTCATCGTCATCATCATCGTCATCATCACGTCATCTTCACCGTCATCTTCGTAATTGTCATCGTCATCATCATCCTCATAGTCATCGTCATCATCATCGTCGTCGTCATCGTCATCATCGTCATCGCATCATCATCTTCATCGTCATCATCATCGTCTTCGTCATCGTCATCGTCATCATCATCGTCGGTGTCATCGTCATCATCGTCATCGTCATCATCGTCATCGTCATCATTATCCTCATTGTCATCGTCATCGTCATCATCATTACCGTCATCGTCATAATCATCGTCATCATCATCGTCATCGTCATCATCATCGTCATCATCATTATCGTCATAGTCATAATCATCGTCATCATTATCGTCATCGTCATCGATAGTCATCGTCATCATCATCGTCGGCGTCATCGTCATCATCGTCATCGCATCATCATCGTCTTCGTCATCATCATCGTCTTCGTCATCGTCATCGTCATCATCATCGTCGGCGTCATCGTCACCATCGTCATCGTCATCATTTACGTCATCGTCATCTACATCGTCATCTACATCGTCATCGACATCGTCATCGTCATCATCATCGTCATCATCACCGTCATCGTCATCGTCATCATCATCCTCATCGTCATCGTCATCATCATTATCGTCATCGTCATAATCATCGTCAACATCATCGTCATCGTCATCATCATTATCGTCACAGTCATCATCATCGTCATCGTCATCATTATCGTCATCTTCACCGTCGTCATCATCGTAATTGTCATCGTCATCATCATCGTCATCGTCATCGTCATCATCATCGTCGACGTCATCGGCATCATCGTCATCACATCATCATCGTCATCGCATCGCCATCGTCATCAATCGTCGTCGTCATTATCGTCGTCATCATCATCGTCATCGTCATCGTCATAATTGTCATCGTCTACGTCATCATCGTCATCGTCGTCATCACCGTCGTCATCATCGTCATTGTCATCGTCATCATCATCATCGTCATCGCATCATGATCGTCACCATCATCGTCATTTTCATCATCATCGTTATCGTCATCTTCATCATCATCGTCATCTTCTTACTTATCGTCATCGTCATCGTCAGTGGCATAATCACCGTTATAGTCATCATCATCATCGCTATCATTATCGTCATCGTCATTGTCATCGTCATAATCATCGTCATCGTCATCATCATCGCCATCATCATCGTCGGGTCCAGGAATGCACTTAATTCAGCCACTTAGCACATCATTATCATCATCGTCATCGTCATCATCATCGTCATTATCATCGTAATCATCATCGTCAACGTCATCGTCATCATCATCGTCTTCGTCAATATCATCGTTTCGTCATCGTAATCATCATAATCATCGTCATCATTATCGTCATCGTCATCGACATCGTCATCGTTATCGTCATCGTCATTGTCATCGTCATAATCTTCATCATCGCTATCGTCATCGTCATCATCATCGACAGGTAAGACATGAGGAAGTCGATGGATGCATGTGGCTCAGGACCGTGCTTTGTGGCATTCCTTGGGGAAGGGCTATTTTCAGCAGTCGACATGTGAAGGACTGTAATGATGGTGGTGATGATGAAAATCGAAACCTAATTGTAAGTACTCTATTACTAAAATTAATACGAAAAACCTTGAACAAGCAATTCAAAACATTGACTTTAGCCCAGTTTATAAAACCGATGACGTAAACATCTCTTTGCCTTACTTAATAAATAACATACGAAATGCCATTGCTAGCAATACTTCGTATAGAACAGTAGCTAAAAAAAATAATAACTTAAAGCCTTGGATTACACCTGGCCTGATTAGGTGCATGAAACACAGGGACAAACTACACCTGATGGCAAAGACCTCTTCAGATAATTCCATTTTACAAATTTCATATAAAAGATATAGGAATTTTTGTAACAATTTATTAAAAAAGTTGAAGTATAATTATCTTACAAACTTACTAGAAGAGTCTGGTAGAGATAATAAAAAGATTTGGCGGCATGTAAAAGATATTGCATTTATTTCCAAACAGCATGAATCTTCGTCAGAATTATTACAAAATAATGCCTCGCCGCTTATATCAGCAAATACAGTAAATAATTACTTTGTGAACGTTGGTAAAAATCTGGCTGAGCAGATAACAAACAACTCTAGCAATAATTGTGAATACAGGGCCACTTTATTAACTCAAAAAACCTGCCAATTAAGCTCGTTCACATTATTAGATACGGACCCTAGTGAGGTGGAAAGGATTATAATGGGACTGAAAGAAACAAGCGCGGTTGGATGGGACGGATTACCCACTAGTATAAAAATATAGACAAATTCTAGTACCACCACTAACCCATATTTTCAGAATTTGTCTCTCTGAAGGAATTTTCCCAGATTGTTTAAAAAAAGCAATTGTAGTTCCAGTATTCAAATCGGGGGACAAAAAAAACGTTTCCAATTATCGGCCTATCTCAATACTCTCATCCACGTCTAAAATATTAGAAAAATTAATTAACAACAGATTAATGAATTATTTACAAAGTAAATCCATATTATCGAATATGCAATATGGTTTCAGGCCTAAAATGTCCACTGCTGATCCTGTGCAGGAAATGACCGATTACGTCTCTCAAGAATTAGATAAAGGCAACCAATCAATTGGCATTTTCCTTGACCTTGCAAAAGCATTTGATACGGTTTCTATTCCTATCCTATTAAATAAGTTAGAGAGCATAGGTATTCGAGGTAAGCAGCTTCAACTTTTTAAGAATTATTTAGAAAATCGATATCAATGCATAAAAATCGATAAGGTTGTTAGCTCTGAACAAAAAAGTACTCATTTTGGCGTGCCTCAAGGAAGTGTATTAGGGCCAACCCTATTTTTGATTTATATAAATGACCTCTGCAATCTTGAACTTAACTCAGGTAAAATAATATCTTACGCAGATGATACCGTGCTACTTTTTTCCGCAAATACAGTTGACAAGGTTTATTCATATGCTCAGCAAGGTTTTGATAGAGTTAATAAATGGCTCCAACAAAACATATTAACACTGAATACGGACAAAACCAAATATATTCATTTTTCTATGCGCAGCTCAACCCAGCATATAACCATTCCAGAACTTTATGCACATCAATGTTACTCAGTCACGGAGTCTAAATGTTACTGCCCAGTTATTTCTAATACAAAAACTGTTAAGTACCTTGGAATAATTATAGATTCTACGTTTACATTTAAAAACCACATAAACCACCTATGCAATAGAGTACGTAAACTAATGTTTGTTTTTAAAAAAATTCGTTCTTTTGCTGATAATAAGGTAGTAAAACAAGTATATTACGCATTATGTCAGTCAATACTCACCTATTGTATAACCTCTTGGGGTGGAGCAGCTAAAACTACACTAATACCACTGGAACGCGCTCAAAGAGCTGTATTAAAAGTTGCAACATTCCGCCCTATTCTATTTCCATCCCATCTCTTATACAAATCCTATAATGTCCTCTCAGTGCGCCAGTTATTTGTTATGAGCATGTTACTAAAACAGCACTTAAGATTGCCTTATAGAAGAGAGGTCACTGATAAAAGGCGCAAAGATAAAGTAATTGAAACTAACATTAGAATAAGGCATTATTTCATGCATAGATTTTTTACATTTCTCAGCCCTTTTTTTGTTTAATCAAGTCAATGCAATTTTGTATATATATCCATTAAAAATGGCAGACTGTAAAAAGGTAATTCGAACATGGTTACAAAATTTGTCATACGATGATACGGAGAAGTTGTTGATTGTTTTAAGTTAATTAATATCATAAGTAAATTAATGATAATGTATTTTACCCAAATAACCCTTATTAGATAGTACGTTATTCATTTTATATAAGAAACAGAAAATATTTGTTAATGTATCTTTTAGCACATACACCTGAGATACAGGTTTATCCTAGTTCAGGTGCCTGTTATTGTAGACTATTTTTAAGTTAAGACTTATTGGAATAATTTGTACATTTTATCAAAATAAAATAAATTATTATTATTTTGGGGTATCTATATAGTTTTCTCATCTGGTTGGGTGCTATAAATATATAATTATAAATGAAAATGAAAAGATAAATATACATAAATATCAATAACATAAAATAAATATAAAAGTACATAAATAAATAAAAGCCCAACCAGATGGAGGCCCTCGGCAGGGGAGACCAAACGGCCGAGGGTTAGGGGGAAAGGGAAAGAAACCGGCGGACGATGCGGGCGGTATCGAGGAGCACCGCCTTCTGCATTTGAACCTGGAGCGGTCCGCCACGTAGTCCCAGCCGCCTCAGATGACCCGAGAGGCTGACTGGGATTAGCCCGTTTGCAGAGACGACTACAGGAATAATTTCGGTCGGCAGACCACCCCACATGTCGGTCACCTCGTGAGCCAGGTCCAGATATTTTGTTTGCTTGTCTGTTTCGGCTTTCACGAGGTTCTCGTCATACGGAATGGTAATGTCGACCAAAAATATCCTTGACCGTGCCCGGTCCATCAGCACAATATCAGGCTTATTCGCAAGAATAGTCCTGTCTGTGATGATGGCCCGGTCCCAATAGAGCCTGGCGCGATCATTTTCGAGCACGGCTTCCGGCAAGTACTTGTAATACGGCAATTTCCGATCCACGAGACCGTATTTCAGAGCGAGCTCCTGGTGTAGAATTCTGGCTACTAGGTTGTGCCTGTGCAAGTACTCAGAGTTAGAAAGCGCCGAACAACCGGAGATAACATGCCTAAGTGACTCACCGGGATGGCGACAAGCTCGACAGATGTCGACGGTGCCATCCTTTAGGATGTATCTCCGATAGTTGTTGGTCTTAATAACCTGATCCTGTATTGCACAGACAAAACCCTCGGTTTCCCCGAAGAGATCACCAAAGCGTAGCCAGTGGAGGGAGGCTACTGTGTCTACGAAAGGCTCATGTAGAGCCTTGTAGAACCTCCCGTGGAGCTCCTTCTCCTTCCATACGGTCTCCCGGTCGGAAATGCTCTGCACTGCCGGGTCTTGCCATTGCTCGTTGGCTAAGGATAGAGGGGTAAGTCCTTTATCACAAGAAATGACGTCCTTATAGAATGGATCATCCGATCTCGCCAGGAAGTAATCACGGAGGCTGCACACTTCGCGATTATGCATGGTGAGCGCGCTCAAGAAGCCACGACCACCATGATTCCGCGGCAAGTACAGCCTCATTACCGACGATCTCGGATGATGCATCCTATGGGACGTCATTGTAGTGCGGACTTTTCTATCCAGGGCGTTAAGTTCAGTCTGAGTCCACCTGAGTATGCCAAAGGTATACATGAGGACAGGCATGACCCAGCCGTTATATGCGTGTGCCTTATTCACACCGGACAAAAGGCTGTTAAGCACTTTGGTCAAGCGTGCATAAAACACGTCGCAAACTGACTGTTTCATACCAGTCTCATCGATACCGATGTTTTGTGACATACCCAGGTATCGGTATGTTTCAGCCTCGGAAAGGGTCCTTAAGTTGACGGGCATAGATAAGTCTACGCCCTCAGAGTTAGCAACCCTTCCCCTTTCAACATGGAGGACCGCACACTTATCCGTCCCCAGCTCCATTCCAATGGAATTGCTAAATTCACAAGTGATGTTTAGCAATTCCATAAGATGGGAGCGACTGGAGGCGAATAACTTGAGGTCATCCATATAGAAAAGGTGGGTCACTTTTGTCCCTCCTTTCCGTAGCTGAAATCCCCTCCCGGAGCCCTCCAGTAAGGTACTGAGAGGGTTCAGAGAGAGGCAGAACCAGATTGGACTCAGACAATCGCCCTGGAAGATACCCCTTCTTATCCTTATGTGGTTCTCCGCAGCCATCATCCGCTCGCCTAGATGACAAAGGATCGTACTCCACTGCCCCATACACTGCTCGAGGAAGTCTCTAACTGTACAGTCTATCTTGTACAGCTCGAGGACTCTCTTTAGCCATGTATGGGGCACCGAGTCGAATGCCTTTCTGTAGTCTATCCAGGCGGCGGAGAAGTTCCGACGGTTGCGTTTCACCACTTTGCCAATGACCGCGTCAATGAGGAGTGGTTCCTTGGTTCCACGACCACCGCCCCGACATCCATTTTGAGCGCGCGACATCACCTGATTTGAGTCCAGGTGACAAGTGATTCTCGCGCTCAAAATGGATGTTAGTGTCTTGTATATGGTCGGTAGACACGTGATGGGGCGGTATTTGCTCGGGTCTGTGGTACCCTGGTCTTTAGGAACTAAATGAGTGATCCCAGTAGTGAAGAGGCTTGGGAGCGACTTCTGGTTGAGAGCCTCTTGAAACTGTCGGGCGAGCACAGAGTGACACACCATGAACCCCTTCAGCCAGTAGTGATGCAGCCCGTCAAGCCCCGGACTTTTCCAGTTCGGGGCCCTACGAACCGCCTCAGCTACGTCATCCGGCGTTATGATGACGGGGTCCATGGGCGTAATACCCGCACACTGACTCGCCACAACTTCCGTCCAAGGGCCCTCGCTGTGGTTTACGGGCTCTGACCACAGGCCGCGCCAGAATGCTACAGTGTCGGCCTGATTCGGTGCTGGACCCGTTCCACTTACCATTGGTCGCTCCAATGATTCATAGAGCCTCTTCTGATCACTCTGGAAGAGACGATTCTGGTTGAACCGTGTCGACCTCTCGGTATATCGCCGAATCCGCTTTCCCCAAGCAGCGATTCTCTGCTTCAGATCATCTATGCGCTCCGTCAGTTTTTGCGTTATATCCGGCTGGGACAAACTGACATTTGTCCCAGCAAACGCCATCCTGACGGTGCGCACAATTCTTGGCCTGTTGTTGCCTGATCTGAAGCATATCAGTCTGCCGATGAGAGCTCTAGCCTTTGCGATACGTTCCTCAATTCTTTTTCTCCATGCTGGGATAGCGCTACTATGGCCAGTAGCGCGTCCAGCCGTGGAAACCTTGGCGCCTATGATACGGCAGACTGCCAGCGCGGCGCCAAAAAGAATTGAGTCCGTCTCGCAAAGGTCCCGGCTGGCTTCCAAATAGGTAACCAGCATTAGGTTCACAGCCCTCACGACAGCCCGATTCCGCTTGCTTAGGGCTATGCGGGGAAGTCGCGGTCGATTTTCGAGAGGCGTACTGCGCGTTTCCACAATCGCCTCTTCCAATATACTCCTCATATGCTCTAATTCCAGTTCCTGGGCGACTGTTCCATCATCGTTTGAATCAACCACAACTGGGGTATTCACGGCGGCATCCACGTTTACGGGTTGCTCTAACATTTTTGGCGCCGCATCCTCAGCCGTAGCATTCTCATCCGACGAGGGAACAGCCTCACGTCGTAGCCGTTCGAGTTCGGCGACATCAAATATATTTGAGCGCAAGATATACCGAACTCGGTCTGCCAGGTTTTGCTCTGTGACGATTAAAGATGGCTCCAGCTCAGCAAAAAGACGATGCTTATTATTATTATTATGTGTGGGGTATCTATATAGTTTTCTCATCTGGTTGGGTTGTATAAATATATAATTATAAACGAAAATGAAAAGATAAATATACAAAAATATCAATAAAATAAAATAAATACGAAAATACATAAATAAATAAAAGCCCAACCAGATGGAAGCCCTCGGCAGGGGAGACCAAACGGCCGAGGGTTAGGGGGGAAAGGGAAAGAAACCGGCGGACGATGCGGGCGGTATCGAGGAGCACCGCCTTCTGCATTTGAGCCTGGAGCGGTCCGCCACGTAGTCCCAGCCGCCTCAGATGACCCGAGAGGCTGACTGGGATTAGCCCGTTTGCAGAGACGACTACAGGAATAATTTCGGTCGGCAGACCACCCCACATGTCGGTCACCTCGTGAGCCAGGTCCAGATATTTTGTTTGCTTATCTGTTTCGGCTTTCACGAGGTTCTCGTCACACGGAATGGTAATGTCGACCAAAAATATCCTTGACTGTGCCCGGTCCATCAGCACAATATCAGGCTTATTCGCAAGAATAGTCCTGTCTGTGATGATGGCCCGGTCCCAATAGAGCCTGGCGCGATCATTTTCGAGCACGGCTTCCGGCAAGTACTTGTAATATGGCAACTTCCGATCCACGAAACCGTATTTCAGAGCGAGCTCCTGGTGTAGAATTCTGGCTACTAGGTTGTGCCTGTGCAAGTACTCAGAGTTAGAAAGCGCCGAACAACCGGAGATGACATGCCTAAGTGACTCACCGGGATGGCGACAAGCTCGACAGATGTCGATGGTGCCATCCTTTAGGATGTATCTCCGATAGTTGTTGGTCTTAATAACCTGATCCTGTATTGCACAGACAAAACCCTCGGTTTCCCCGAAGAGGTCACCAAAGCGTAGCCAGTGGAGAGAGGTTACTGTGTCTACGAAAGGCCCATGTAGAGACTTGTAGAACCTCCCGTGGAGCTCCTTCTCCTTCCATACGGTCTCCCGGTCGGAAATTGTCTGCACTGCCGGGTCTTGCCATTGCTCGTTGGCTAAGGATAGAGGGGTAAGTCCTTTATCACAAGAAATGATGTCCTTATAGAATGGATCATCCGATCTCGCCAGGAAGTAATTACGGAGGCTGCACACTTCGCGATTATGCATGGTGAGCGCGCTCAAGAAGCCACGCCCACCATGCTTTCGCGGCAAGTACAGCCTCATTACCGACGATCTCGGATGATGCATCCTGTGGGACGTCATGGTAGTGCGGACTTTTCTATCCAGGGCGTTAAGTTCAGTCTGAGTCCACCTGAGTATGCCAAAGGTATACATGAGGACAGGCATGACCCAGCCGTTATATGCTTGTGTCTTATTCACACCGGACAAAAGGCTGTTAAGCACTTTGGTCAAGCGTGCATAAAACACGTCGCAAACTGACTGTTTCATACCAGCCTCATCGATACCGATGTTCTGTGACATACCCAGGTATCGGTATGTTTCAGCCTCGGAAAGGGTCCTTAAGTTGACGGGCATAGATAAGTCTATGCCCTCAGAGTTAGAAACCCTACCCCTCTCAACATGGAGGACCGCACACTTATCCGTCCCCAGCTCCATTCCAATGGAATTGCTAAATTCACAAGTGATGTTTAGCAGTTCCATAAGATGGGAGCGACTGGAGGCGAATAACTTGAGGTCATCCATATAGAAAAGGTGGGTCACTTTTGTCCCTCCTTTCCGTAGCTGAAATCCCCTCCCGGAGCCCTCCAGTAAGGTACTGAGAGGGTTCAGAGAGAGGCAGAACCATATTGGACTCAGACAATCGCCCTGGAAGATACCCCTTCTTATCCTTATGTGGTTCTCCGCAGCCATCATCCGCTCGCCCAGATGACAAAGGATCGTACTCCACTGCCCCATACACTGCTCGAGGAAGTCTCTAACTGTACAGTCTATCTTGTACAGCTCGAGGACTCTCTTTAGCCATGTATGGGGCACCGAGTCGAATGCCTTTCTGTAGTCTATCCAGGCGGCGGAGAAGTTCCGACGGTTGCGTTTCACCACTTTGCCAATGACCGCGTCAATGAGGAGTGGTTCCTTGGTTCCACGACCGCCGCCCCGACATCCATTTTGAGCGCGCGACATCACCTGATTTGAGTCCAGGTGACGAGTGATTCTCGCGCTCAAAATGGATGTTAGTGTCTTATATATGGTCGGTAGACACGTGATGGGGCGGTATTTGCTCGGGTCTGTGGTACCCTGGCCTTTAGGAACCAAATGGGTGATCCCAGTAGTGAAGAGGCTCGGGAGCGACTTCTGGTTGAGAACCTCTTGAAACTGTCGGGCGAGCACAGTGTGACACACCACGAACCCCTTCAGCCAGTAGTGATGCAGCCCGTCGAGTCCCGGACTTTTCCAGTTCGGGGCCCTACGGACCGCCTCAGCTACGTCATCCGGCGTTATGGTGACGGGGTCCATGGGCGTAATACCCGCACACTGACTCGCCACAACTTCCGTCCAAGGGCCCTCGTTGTGGTTTACGGGCTCTGACCACAGGCTGCGCCAGAATGCGACCGTGTCGGCCTGATTCGGTACTGGGCCCGTTCCACTTACCATTGGTCGCTCCAATGATTTATAGAGCCTCTTCTGATCACTCTGGAAGAGACGATTCTGGTTGAACCGTGTCGACCTCTCGGTATATCGCCGAATTCGCTTTCCCCAAGCAGCGATTCTCTGCTTCAGGTCGTCTATGCGCTCCGTCAGTTTTTGCATTATATCCGGCTGGGACAAACTAACATTTGTCCCAGCAAACGCCATCCTGACGGTGCGCACAATCCTTGGCCTGGTATTGCCTGACCTGAAGCATATCAGTCTGCCGATGAGGGCCCTAGCCTTTGCGATACGTTCTTCAATTCTTGTTCTCCAGGCTGGGATAGCACTACTTTGTCCAGTAGTGCGTCCAGCCGTGGAAAGTTTGGCGCCTATAATACGGCAGACTGCCAGTGCGGCGCCAAAGAGAATTGAGTCCGTCTCGCAAAGGTCCCGGCTGGCTTCCAAATAGGTCACCAGCATTGGGTTCAGAGCCCTCACGACAGCCCGATTCCGCTTGCTTAGAGCTATGCGGGGGAAGTCGCGGTCGATTTTCGAGAGGCGTACTGCGCGTTTCCATAATCGCCTCTTCCAATGTACTCCTCATTTGCTCTATTTCTAGTTTCTGGGCGAATGTTCCATCATCATTTGAATCAGCAACCACTGGGGTATTCTCGGCGGCATCCACGTGTGCGGGTTGTTCTGCAACTTGTGGCACCGCACCCTCAGTCGTAGCGTTTTCATTTGATGAGGGAACAGCCTCACGTCGTAGCCGTTCGAGTTCGGCGCCATCAAATATATTTGAGCGTAAGATATACCGAACTCGGTCTGCCAGGTTTTGCTCGGTGACAGTAATAGATGGCTCCAGCTCAGTAAAAAGACGATGCATCCTAGCCCGATACGCGAAACCTCCAATTTCTCCCCCTTTCGCCCTAAAATACGCCCGCAATGCGTTTGTATTCATATTGATGGTCCATCGCATGCGGCGTACTCCACCAGTGGCGGGTGCCGATTGCTGGGCCTGCGAAGACCCTGCCGACACCAAGCAAGCTGGTGGGGATGATGGATGCGAGGGGCTGCTGGGTGGTCGTGCAGCACCTCGCGCTCGGCTGGCGGTTCGCATGCTGTCGCGTCCAGCGCCAGCTCCAGACGCGCCCTGACGACCTCCAGGCAGCGGCCCTTTGCGCAATCTTCTATGTTCCATCATCCATACAGGGCGTCATTTAACGGGAGACGCCCAGACCCGGCGCCGTTTCATGGATACAAGCGGGCCCTTGCACCATCAATTTTTGCCGAGGCACGGCGCTCACACCTCTTGGCAAGGTGCTGACTGACTGCGCGGACGTAGCGGTTTTGTCACATAACCCCCGAGTCTACTTCCCTACGCCATAATTATTATTATTATTATTATTATTATGGGGCATCTATATAGTTTTCTCATCTGGTTGGGTTATATAAATATATAATTATAAATGAAAATGAAAAGATAAATATACATAAATATCAATAACATAAAATAAATATAAAAGTACATAAATAAGTAAAAGCCCAACCAGATGGAGGCCCTCGGCAGGGGAGACCAAACGGCCGAGGGTTAGGGGGAAAGGGAAAGAAACCGGCGGACGATGCGGGCGGTATCGAGGAGCACCGCCTTCTGCATTTGAACCTGGAGCGGTCCGCCACGTAGTCCCAGCCGCCTCAGATGACCCGAGAGGCTGACTGGGATTAGCCCGTTTGCAGAGACGACTACAGGAATAATTTCGGTCGGCAGACCACCCCACATGTCGGTCACCTCGTGAGCCAGGTCCAGATATTTTGTTTTCTTGTCTGTTTCGGCTTTCACGAGGTTCTCGTCATACGGAATGGTAATGTCGACCAAAAATATCCTTGACTGTGCCCGGTCCATCAGCACAATATCAGGCTTATTCGCAAGAATAGTCCTGTCTGTGATGATGGCCCGGTCCCAATAGAGCCTGGCGCGATCATTTTCGAGCACGGCTTCCGGCAAGTACTTGTAATACGGCAATTTCCGATCCACGAGACCGTATTTCAGAGCGAGCTCCTGGTGTAGAATTCTGGCTACTAGGTTGTGCCTGTGCAAGTACTCAGAGTTAGAAAGCGCCGAACAACCGGAGATAACGTGCCTAAGTGACTCACCGGGATGGCGACAAGCTCGACAGATGTCGACGGTGCCATCCTTTAGGATGTATCTCCGATAGTTGTTGGTCTTAATAACCTGATCCTGTATTGCACAGACAAAACCCTCGGTTTCCCCGAAGAGATCACCAAAGCGTAGCCAGTGGAGGGAGGCTACTGTGTCTACGAAAGGCTCATGTAGAGCCTTGTAGAACCTCCCGTGGAGCTCCTTCTCCTTCCATACGGTCTCCCGGTCGGAAATGCTCTGCACTGCCGGGTCTTGCCATTGCTCGTTGGCTAAGGATAGAGGGGTAAGTCCTTTATCACAAGAAATGACGTCCTTATAGAATGGATCATCCGATCTCGCCAGGAAGTAATCACGGAGGCTGCACACTTCGCGATTATGCATGGTGAGCGCGCTCAAGAAGCCACGACCACCATGCTTCCGCGGCAAGTACAGCCTCATTACCGACGATCTCGGATGATGCATCCTATGGGACGTCATGGTAGTGCGGACTTTTCTATCCAGGGCGTTAAGTTCAGTCTGAGTCCACCTGAGTATGCCAAAGGTATACATGAGGACAGGCATGACCCAGCCGTTATATGCGTGTGCCTTATTCACACCGGACAAAAGGCTGTTAAGCACTTTGGTCAAGCGTGCATAAAACACGTCGCAAACTGACTGTTTCATACCAGCCTCATCGATACCGATGTTCTGTGACATACCCAGGTATCGGTATGTTTCAGCCTCGGAAAGGGTTCTTAAGTTGACGGGCATAGATAAGTCTATGCCCTCAGAGTTAGCAACCCTTCCCCTTTCAACATGGAGGACCGCACACTTATCCGTCCCCAGCTCCATTCTAATAGAATTGCTAAATTCACACGTGATGTTTAGCAATTCCATAAGATGGGAGCGACTGGAGGCGAATAATTTGAGGTCATCCATATAGAAAAGGTGGGTCACTTTTGTACCTCCTTTCCGAAGCTGAAATCCCCTCCCGGAGCCCTCCAGTAAAGTACTGAGAGGGTTCAAAGAGAGGCAGAACCAAATTGGACTCAGACAGTCGCCCTGGAATATACCCCTTCTTATCCTTATGCGGCTTTCCGCAGCCGTCATCCGCTCGCCTAGATGACAGAGGATCGTACTCCACTGCCCCATACACTGCTCGAGGAAGTCTCGAACTGTACAGTCAATCTTGTACAGCTCGAGGACCCTCTTTAGCCATGTATGGGGCACCGAGTCAAATGCCTTTCTGTAATCTATCCAGGCGGCGGAGAAGTTCCGACGGTTGCGTTTCACCACTTTGCCAATGACCGCGTCAATGAGGAGTGGTTCCTTGGTTCCACGACCGCCGCCCCGACATCCATTTTGAGCGCGCGACATCACCTGATTTAAGTCCAGGTGACGAGCGATTCTTGCGCTCAAAATGGATGTTAGTGTCTTGTATATGGTCGGTAGACACGTGATGGGGCGGTATTTGCTCGGGTCTGTGGCACCCTGATCTTTAGGAACCAAATGAGTGATCCCAGTAGTGAAGAGGCTTGGGAGCGACTTCTGGTTGAGAGCCTCTTGAAACTGTCGGGCGAGCACAGAGTGACACACCATGAACCCCTTCAGCCAGTAGTGATGCAGCCCGTCAAGCCCCGGACTTTTCCAGTTCGGGGCCCTACGGACCGCCTCAGCTACGTCATCCGGCGTTATGATGACGGGGTCCATGGGCGTAATACTCGCACACTGACTCGCCACAACTTCCGTCCAAGGGCCCTCGCTGTGGTTTACGGGCTCTGACCACAGGCTGCGCCAGAATGCGACCATGTCGGCCTGATTTGGTGCAGGGCCCGTTCCACTTACTATTGGTCGCTCCAATGATTTATAGAGCCTCTTCTGATCACTCTGGAAGAGACGATTCTGGTTGAACCGTGTCGACCTCTCGGTATATCGCCGAATCCGCTTTCCCCAAGCAGCTATTCTTTGCTTCAGGTCGTCTATGCGCTCCGTCAGTTTTTGCATTATATCCGGCTGGGACAAACTAACATTTGTCCCAGCAAACGCCATCCTGACGGTGCGCACAATCCTTGGCCTGGTATTGCCTGACCTGAAGCATATCAGTCTGCCGATGAGGGCCCTAGCCTTTGCGATACGTTCTTCAATTCTTATTCTCCAGGCTGGGATAGCACTACTTTGTCCAGTAGCGCGTCCAGCCGTGGAAAGTTTGGCACCTATAATACGGCAGACTGCCAGTGCGGCGCCAAAAAGAATTGAGTCCGTATCGCAAAGGTCCCGGCTGGCTTCCAAATAGGTAACCAGCATTGGGTTCAGAGCCCTCACGACAGCCCGATTCCGCTTGCTTAGGGCTAAGCGGGGAAGTCGCGGTCGATTTTCGAGAGTCGTACTGCGCGTTTCCACAATCGCCTCTTCCAATGTACTCCTCATTTGCTCTAGTTCCAGTTCCTGGGCGACTGTTCCATCATCGTTTGAATCAACCACAACTGGCGTATTCACGGCGGCATCCACATTTGCCGTTTGCTCAGCAAGTTGTGGCGCCGCATCCTCAGCCGCAGCATTTTCACCCGATGAAGGAACAGCCTCACGTCGTAGCCGTTCGAGTTCGGTGACATCAAATGTATTTGAGCGCAAGATATACCGAACTCGGTCTGCCAGGTTTTGCTCGGTGACGGTTACAGATGGCTCCAGCTCAGCAAAAAGTCGATGCATCCTTGCCCGATACGCAAAACCTCCAGTTTCTCCCCCTTTCGCCCTAAAATACGCCCGCAATGCGTTGCTGTTCATCTGGGTTGTCCAACGCATGCGGCGTACTCCACCAGTGGCGGGTGCCGATTGCTGAGCCCGCGAAGACCCTGCCGACACCAAGCCAGCTGGTGGGGATGATGGATGCGAGGAGCTGCTGGGTGGTCGTGCAGCACCTCGCGCTCGGCTGGCGGTTCGCATGCTGTCGCGTCCAGCGCCAGCTCCAGACGCGCCCTGGCGACCTCCAGGCAGCGGCCCTTTGCGCGTTCCATTTGATTCCATCATCCATTTTAGGGCGTCATTTAGCGGGAGACGCCCAGACCCGGCGCCGTTTCATGGTTAGGCCATGTGCACAAGCGGGCCCTGGCACCTTCAATTTTTGCCGAGGCACGGCACTAACACCTCTTGGCAAGGTGCTGACTGACTGCGCCGACGTAGCGGTTTTGTCACATAACCGTTATATCAGCGGGCGATGGGGTCGTCACTTCCCTACGCCTTATTATTATTATTATTATTATTATTATTATTATTATTATTATTATAAACAACAAAACAAATTCATAAACTGAACGTATTAGCGTATTAGAGTAGGTAACACCTACCTTTTCATTAGTTAGAATGAAAATTTGTGGATAACCAACATTTCACCAAAATCCGAAAAATATTGATGAAAACTCGGGAAAATCCGGATTTTTCAGTTATTTTCGAATTTCGAAGAATTCGGATTGCAATCACTAATTATGATGACGATGACGATGACGATGATGTTCACGGTAGCGGTGTAGATGACGATAGCGATGATGATGATAATGATGACGATAACGGTGATGATGATGATGCTATGATGACGATGACGATAACGATGATGATGACGATGATGATGACGATGACGATGATAATGAATGAATGTAGGCATATAACGCGTGGCCTAGAGCGAGTGACGGAGGCCTGATATGGGTAGGCAGCTCTAACATTATGCTTGAATGGCTATACACATAAAAATACATACAGTCAAATTGTTTCGGACGGCAGGGACACGTTCAATGCCCGCAGTCGCCCTGGGACAATCTCCCACTTGATGACGTACGTTCCTTGCTTAGTACTGGCGACGCACGTCCCACGAACCCCTGAATGCGTATGTATAATACGACCCCACTAGGACCTCGAGAGAGAGATAGAGAGAGATAGATAGACGAACAGCCGGGAGGAGGCAATTAAAACACTATTTTCCTCAGGTTTCGGCTTCCTTTTTTCTTGTTGTTGTAGCCTCTTCGACGGCTGTGCTGCGACTGCGATTTGAGCCTTTTTTTTTTGCGCCCGAAGCAAATATTGGCAACCCTCCGGAAAACGGGGGAGGGAGGTGGGGAACGCTCATAGCATACCACGCAGCTGGCTGCGTGGTTATGTGGAGACTTTTACCCACTAAACCCCACCTTTTAGGGACTGGCTTAACGGTCTAACTAGAGATCTCTAAGCCGTATACGAACGCGACACTCCTTGGCAGAAAGGAGGGCGCAAATTTGAGCCGAAATTTGCTCGACTTTTATACCCGCCGGCGTTTTTGTACGGACGTTAGCGCGGTTTTCCCTGTCTCGCGTGTTGTTTTTATTTCGAGCTGAAACCTTAGGACGAGGCTGCCACTCGAGAACCTTTCTTCCCCATTGGTTATCGGTTCTTCGAGCTATATGGACGGCCCATTTCCAGTTCAGCTTACTAATCCGTTAGGCTATGTCGGTCACTTTGGTTTTACTGCGGATATCCTCATTTCTGAGTCTATCACGCAGAGAAACTCCGAGCATAGCCCTCTACATAGCTCACTGAGCAACCTTGAGCGTCCTCATACGGCCAGCAGTGAAGGACTACGTCTCTGATCCGTAAGTCATCACTGGCAACACGCACTGGTTGTACACTTTAGTTTTCAGAGATTGTGGTATACCTGACGAGAAGATGTATCGTAATTTCCCGAACGCTGCCCAGCTGAGTTGAATCCGTCGATTGACCTCTCGGTCGAAGTTGGACTTACCTACCTAGTCGTACTATTTGTCCCAGGTAAACGTACTCGTCAACAACTTCGAGCATAGTGCTCCCAACAACTACCGGCATAGGTGTGACATGGACAATGAACATGATCTTTGTTTTGTCCATGTTCATCTTAAGACCTATCCGTTGGGAGACACCATTGAGGTCATTGAGCATAGTGCTAAGGTCCTCCAGCGATTCTGCCATAAGGACTATATCGTCGGCAAATCGAAGGTGAGTGATGTACTCGCCATTGATGTTAATACCGTATCCTTTCCAGTCCAGTAGCTTGAAAACGTCTTCCAACGCAGCGGTGAAGAGTTTCGGAGATATAACGTCACCCTGTCTTACACCTCTCTGCAGTTGTATAGGTTTCCAACTCTGGTTCTGTACTCGGATAGCCATCGTAGCCCTACTATACAAACACTTCAGCACCTCGACATACCGACAGTCAACTTGGCACCGCTGAAGGGACTGTAGCACCGCCCAAATTTCGACGGAATCAAAGGCTTTCTCATAGTCCACATACGCCAGGCAAAGTGGCAGATTGTACTCTTCGGTCTTCTGTACAATCTGCCGCAGGGTATGTATGTGGTCTATGGTACTGAAGCCTTTTCGGAAACTGGCTTGTTAGGTAAAGGTTAGCTTTTAATAACAAAATTATTATTAAAAGCTAACCTTTAAATTTTATAATCATATTTAAATTATATTCTAATATGAGTTAATACGCTAATCACACTATTTGAGAAATTATAATAGTCTCAAAACACAGTTCGTCACTTGGTAAATTATGTTTTGTCGCGGACACTAACTACACAAATTAAGAAATTATAATATTCTTAAAACATAGTTCGTCACCTGGTAAATTATGCTTTGTTTCAGGCACTAACTACACTAATTAAGAAATTATGATAGTTTTAAAACACAGTTCGTCACTGGTTAATTGTGTGCTTTGTCGCCGACACAAATTGTGATCCATCCCCTTTTTTGAAGTCGGCTAATAATGTCCTCCAGACCGCATTTCGGCAACTAAGACCAGATTCGACGGAGGCTAGCCAGCAGCGCAGGGCGCGATTATTTTACTCTTTATTCACTGGGTCTCATACTCAGCTGGGATGGTTCTTCGACATGACCGGAGAGAGATCAGACGCAGAAATACAGGCTTGTTCAACCCATGTTCCTGAGTGTTTTCTCAAGAACATGGGGTGAATTTTGTCAACTTCATGACTGGGCTATCAATGAAAATTTATAGACAAAATACCCCAATAAGTACTATCTTCGGTTGGACCCGGGATTCGAACTAATGATTAGCAGTCGCGTTTACGATCACTAGGGCAACAAGACAGTCAACTACGATATAAATTGCCGTATGAGGTCATCTATGGTATTTTTGATAGGTTATAATCACGATTGAATGCTACATAGTGATTATATATGTGTGGCCGTGAAGGAAAAGGGGAGATCTCCCGCCGGGCAAGGTGTTCTGTCCGGGGAGCGGCCGACACTCCGTGTAATAGCTCGGAGATGTTCTATATATGCTGTTTATGATTCGGAATGTTGATAGCGTGATTTAGGCTTCGGTGTGTTTCGCTTGCGGCGCGACGACAGCACCGCTACATCACCCCCCTGTTCAGACCGGAGGTCGATAGTGCAGCCTCGTTGCCGACGAATGTGCAAGTGCCAGGAGATTGCCTTGTAGTCTGCGGTGAATCGAGAAGAAGGCAAGTAATCTGCGAGAGTGCCGTGAAGCAGAGGCGAGCAGTAAGGCTCAGAGCCTTACTGAACACTGTAGCGCAGAGTGTAGCTTGAAGGAACAGGAAGCATTATTATTCCAGTGCTGCGATGAAACTTGTGAAGCTAGATGGCTTGCAGGATATGAAGACTGCAGACGATATCTACTCGAGAGCGACTGCGTGGGGTACTCTATGACAATGATGAAGCTTGAAGTTTCCGAAGGTTGTTGGTTGCGTGTTCCGATCACGTCGGGGTCACCACTGTGGCCGTGGAAAGAAAAGGGAGATCTCCCGCCGGGCAAGGTGTTCTGCCCGGGGAGCGGCCGACACTCCGTGTGATAGCTCGGAGATATTCTATATATGCTGTTTATGATTCGGAATGTTGATAGCGTGATTTAGGCTTCGGTGTGTTTCGCTTGCGGCGCGACGACAGCGCCGCTACATATGTAATACATTAACTTTATATGAAAACATAAATTTTAAAATTATATAATTTATTCTTAATCAGAATATACGTTTCAATAATCATGACAGATGTTTTTAACGTGGAAACAGACGCAGACCTTTGCAAATAGGCACACGTGGGAAGCAACACCATAATCGAAATAAATTATTCGCTAGTTTTGCCTATGAATCTGTTTTCAAATTCCGCTCAAAATTACTCCGTCACGTTAAAGAACTGATTTTGGCGAAAATGTTTTCGAAGCTTAAATTTTGCGACAAAAATCCTACAGTGATCAAAATTAACTTTAGCACTTTATTTATTTTCCGGCGTGTAAATTTAAAAAATTTTATGGCCTGTTTTAACTACGGAATTCATTGAGTTTATTATAAGTTCATTATAACAGATTTGGCATATTTCCTACCGCATACAGAAACCCACTCCTCCATTTAATTCTGTATATGTATTTTGTAAGTTTTTCATAAATTACTTTTTAAAGGGCTCAGATATCATCCCGTGGGTGTCGTAAGAGATGACAAACGTAAATAAAAAAGCAGATGGACAGCAGAATTTTCTTAATAGCTCGCTTGCCTAACGTGGTCATTATTGCAAACGGGGGGGGGGGGGTTTTTATAAAATGGATTTTATAGATTTATGAGTTAATCCATGGGGGAGACTTATGTTCAGACGGTGTTCAATGTGGTAAGTTTATGTGGACGCTTTAGAGACGCTTTCGTTGTGTGACTAAAACTTTAAATTGAAAACAATGAACACAACAAAGTAACAGCCTATATACGGCCTACTTCTGGTCACAGGTGTCTTCTTCCAAAGTCCCGCTGGGATTCCTGCTGATTCTTCCTACGACAGAGGTTTCTAAAAAAAAACCTAATACTCACTATTCCAATATCAGACTATTTTGTACGTTTTAAAATAATTTATCATTTGAAATGCAAAATATAATCAAACTATTAGCAAACCAAGTTTACGTTTTACAATAGCCAAAACAGACTTTCATTAATACAAATTCAGAGTATTTCAGAGAGATTTCAGCTTCTTCTAGATAAATACTGGTACTAATTGGAGGCGGA